AACCAGAATTTGAACCAGATGCAAGATCCAGAACCCAGCAAAAAGCAAACAAATGTTTTCACAGGATCCATTTATATAGAAAATGGGCTACACACACACATCCCCACCTGGAAACTTTCTTTTAATTACATCACAGTTGTGACCTGAGTAAGGGAGTTGGCACTCCACCCTAATCTTCACATAACTGCTTGACTGCTCACAGCAGATTCCATTGTGGAATTGATTCCATTGTGTTAGGTCATATCATGGGTTATTACTGGGCCTCAACTGCCAAACCACAGAGAATATTGGCCCAGCCCAGTTGACACAAAACCTACCTATCACACTATGCAAAGCTGGGCTACCAACCTCAGTCACCCACTTTCCCATTGCCATCCTCTTGAGCCAGTTGTTAAATGCTTATCAGCACACCACAGATACATATATATGATAGGGCTTCCAAATTCCACGACCTTTTAACTCAGTTTTCCCACTCTTCCATACAAAAGAAGTAGAAAACTATCTGGAAGGAGAGATGTCAAACTGGTAATGATGTCAGCTCCTGAGCAGTATGGCAAGGGTGTGAAACTTGTCACCATGTATACCATCTGTGTTCTCTGCATTTTTTGTCAGTGAGCATATAGGCATATTTTTCCTGTTGCTTTAAAAAATAACATGCTGGAAATGTGGATTGGTTCTTTTCCTCTTAGAAGCTAGAAGATGGTCACATGTGCTTTCTAAATTGACCTGTGAAGAAGCTGAATACCAAGGTTGGAACTTGGATTGTTTTCTCCTAAATCTATTTTATCTTCTTGCCCAACTAAATGTTTGTGTGGTTTTGTTTTGTTTTTTAATCTCTTTGTAGGTTATCCTACAGCCTATCCGGCAGCTGCTCCTGCCTACAACCCCAGCCTCTACCCCACCAATAGCCCCAGTTATGCTCCAGGTAAGGAGAATGTGGGAGCAGCAGTGGTGAGTTGGGTAAAGGTGGGGCTCTATTTGGAATAACAAGCCCACCTGGTGACTTTGCCCTGTGTATAGTGCTATGGGATCAGCCTGTGCAGGCCTGTTCTCCTGCTGAGAGTCACCTCTGAGAATTGGGGAAATCAGAGTCGAGGTGGGAGTAGATTGTTCTTCACATTCTTGGAAACATCAGGTTGGCCCATCTTTGCTGTGCTAGAATTATCCAAGACATGCTTCCTCCTCACAGAACCTTTCCTGCTATGTCAAACTTTGTCCAAATCTACTCATTGCTACCAATGTTCCCTAAAGCTGCCATTGGGAAACAACACACATGCATGTGCATATATATGCATAGAGAGAGTAGGCTTCCTGGATGCGGTTTGGAAGAGATGAAAGACTTGCCAACAGTAAAGACCTGGCTTTTAAGCTGAAGTGAGTTGCTTGCTTGTCAAAAATTTAAAAGGGCCAGCACTTTTGAAGAGAAGTTGAAGGTTTATAAACCTTGGAAAGGTTTCTTCTAATTTGGCAGGAATAATGGCACAGAGACCTTCCACTGACCTTAATCCCTTTGCTGTCAACAGGGCTCTAACACTCGAGGGAGAGGCAAAAAAGAATGGGCTCTACAGTTTGAAAATCCTGGGTTTGAATCCTGATGACTCCGCTCACTAGTTGTGAGGCTTTGGGCAAGTCCCCTTACCTCTCTGAAGAATATAACTCTCTTAGAATTGTGGATAGTTTTATATCTCTTTATTTGCTCAACAAGTATTTGTTGAGTGTCCTGCACCCCGGGATAGAAAAATAAAGGAGATTACAGTCTACTTGAAAGCCTGGTATATAAACAAATTTATTACAATACATCTTGGTAAATTTTGTTAGAAGACTACATATTGTGTTGTCTTAATTAACGTTCTGTTTTTACCTCTCTGGGTTCTGATGTCTATTACAATGGCTACACAGAACTCACAAACAAAATTCATGACTAAAGGATTTACTAAGGAAATTAACAAGTCGTAATGCCCTGTTTATCAAGACATGTTTGTCAGAAATGTTTATCAGGACATGTTACAAAATTCTTTCAGGTCTGCTAATAAATGCCCAAAGGGGCATACCACTCAGCTATAACCCTAAACCTAAAGGCATTCTGCTCAAGCTCTGTGGGTCAGCAAACCCAGCTACCTGAATTAAGTGTCCAGAGACACCGCACTCCAGTTAGCCTCAGCCCAAAGGCACTCAACTCCACTTCCAAGGGTCAGCAAGTCCAACTTCCCTGGTAGAGTGTACCTCACTCTGCAAGCCAGCACACCCTGCTCAAAAGCACTCAGCTTTGCTTGCTCCATGAGTTGTGAAGTCCATTACTCTTCTGCTTTCTGGACCCCGACTTGCTGGTTGCTCCTCTGATGTTACAGCTGTCTTCTGGATCCAAGAGGCTTACTGCCCAAAATGTAACCCACTGTGCCACCAGGGCTCATTTCCAAAAATTCTATAATAGGAGGTGAAAACAATACAAGCTACAGAATCAAATTTGTTAAGTTCTATCTTAAAAGCTATTGTGGCTTTGATTATCAGCCTTGGATTATCAGAAATCTAAATAGTGTAAGATCTGTGAATTAACTTTATAAACTCTAGAGCAGCAGTTCTCAACCTGTGGGTTGCGACCCCTTTGGGGGTCGAACGGCCCTTTCACGGGCTGGCCCGATTCATAACAGTAGCAAAATTACAGTGGTGAAGTAGCAATGGAAATAATTTTATGGTTGGGTGGGTCACCACAACATGAGGAACTTTATGAAAGGGTCGCAGCATTAGGTAGGTTAAGAACTACTGCTCTAGAGTCTAAAACAAAATGAGGGAAATTGTTGCACAAGGTCAAGGAAGATCAGGAGTGAAAAAGTCTCATTATCTTTATGTTCAATCAGGCCACCAGGGACCTCAGGGAAACAATGCTACTTGAAGTGTCCAGGCTGGAAACCAGACCACCATTAAGAAGTAGATTTAGCAGTATGGGTAGGAAGGAGCAAGTGTATAGGTCAGAGATGCACAAGAAGGGGTGACAGGTGAAGTCAGGCCCCCAAAGAGGCAGAGGTGGCAAATCCAGTCTCATGTCTTTTCATTATTTGGGGGAGTCAAGTGATAGGTGGAAGTGGGGTGCTCAGAGGTGAGGAGGCTAGCTCTTCCTCTGAGACTAAAAGTGGTCACAAATGGATGTTCTTATGGTGAATTGCTTGGTGGGAAGTGGAGAGATTTTGTCTAGTGACCTTGATTTGCTGAGACAGAGATGAGCAGGGGTAAAGATGGAGTTCTTCAGGAGACGAGAAGTAGCAGGAGAGGAACTGTTACCCAGAGACGGACATTTCCTGTAACTGTACCATTGGAGCCCCACAGAGGGTGGAGCCATAAATTGAATCCCCAGCACTAGATTGTGGGATTGTTTCAGCTTGGGAATTTGACTACAAAGATACAGTGGAAGGAAATAAAAAGGTAATATTTACTGAATGCTTCCTGTGTTCCAGGTGCTATTTTAAGCTCCTTTTGGCTATTAACTTGTTTTATATTACAACAAACCCTTGAGGTTAGTAGCACCGTTGTTCCCATTTTCCAGGTGGAAAAACTAAAATTTGGAGAAGTTAGTTAACTGCCCAAAGGTCCAAACCCAGGTATTCTGCTCCCTAGCTCTCATGTTCTCTTAAAGCACAGCACCCGAGTGAAGGAGTTGACCCGATGGAGATTGAAATGTTACACTAGAACAGCCATGCTAGAGAAGGGAATACATTATAGGAGGAGCCCAAGTCTGTGAAGAAATAAAGGGGTCGAAAGCACCTTGAATGTATAAAGTCTTGGTTAAACTTCGATTTTAAAACAAAACCAGGTCTCATTTAACTTGGTTTTCCTCCCATTTATGTTTTGGAATGTCAACATGCTTTTTAGCTATGACCAAACGCCTTAAACTGATTTTGGTGTAACCTTTCTCTACTGAGTTAAACATGCATGCATGTATGCAGCACGTCTGGTTTATATGTTAAGATGCTGGTTTACCTCATTCACTGGGTCTCCTGACTGCAGTGGGGAAGCTCATCCTAGGAGGGAAGAATTGGTTCAAGGTCAAGGAGGACAGTGTAGATTTCTAGCAGCTGCCTGCTAGAGTGAGCCTATTTGTAATGCGGCGAGCCCATTTGTAATGCAACAGAAGTCTGCAAAGGACCAGGCTGGTGGGTTTAAATTTCTCTATGCTGCTTCAAGGAGACCAAAAAGTTGCTTCAGAGAGAGCTATTTTTAGTAGCACTGAGTACCCTAAGATGTCATCTGTCCAGGATACAGGGAAATGCTTTACTTTCGTTGGTTCTGAAAGCATTGTGGCACTTGGAGGCCCCGCCCCCCTCCAGCAGTTCTATCTTATTTAAAAACCATTTGGCCCCACAGGAGGCAGGAGCCCCCTGAGACTGGGCTTTCAGAATCTGGAAAACAAAGAGGGGCGTCAAACTGATAGCATTCTGACTTGAAAAGGAAAACACAGGACCTCCTCTTAAGAAATCAGTTTATGAAACGTTATCATTTAAGTAAATCCATTACTCCCGTTTTGCATGTTCTGAACCAAGGGAAGGGCAAGAGAAAAGACTTTGTATTTTCTGAACACCTGCCATGTTCCAGGCACTATGCAAGGCACGTCACAAACATTATTTAATTGTTACCTCCGCCATGTGAGCTACAGCTCCTTGCCTTCCATTTTACTCAGCGGGGTTAAATAACTTGTCCAGAATTTCACAGCTAAAAATCAATTGAGCAAGCATTCAAACCCAGTCTCTCTGACCCCATAGCATGTGCCCCTTGCCAGCCCTGTACTTTTCCAGAAGGTCCAGAGAGTGAGAAGCCTCGACATTGGGCCCACTTCGCTGGGCCTTTATTCTTCAGAGGCCCGAAATGGTAATTTTGCCCCTCATTTGCTCTGTCAACTGTAGAGTCCCCCTTGTAGTACTTGAGGCAATTAAACACATGGACAAACAAAGATGAGGAGCTTGCACTTGTCCACATTCAGGTAGCTTCTGGGTCACCTGCAAGGAAGGTCACTTGCCATGACACGCAAGGAGGTGCCTCTTCTCAGCAAGCGAGCTTTCCTGGATGGCAAGTCTGACACCCTTCTCCATGGTAGAGGCACTTTACACCGCTCAAGTCCCTGTTTCTTGTGTAGCCTGGGGAAGACAGTTTGTTTGTGTAACTGCAATGTGTACATCTTTCCACAAATCCCAGTGGTAACTTCAACTACATTTCTATCCAACAGAGTTTCAGTTCCTGCATTCAGCTTATGGTAGGAGAGCTATTTTTCCTCATCTATATTTTGGCCTATGAATGTGTTATCTCGTTACAGTGATAGACTCCCTCTCCTCCCCTCCCTAAACCCCATCCCCTAGGCTTGGGCTCCCCCCAGGTGGCTCAGCAGCAGTTCCTAAAGCATGCAGGAACATGTCTGATGGTGCAAAATCATGGGTTGGAGACACACATGAACCCTCCCCCCGGCAGCAGTACAGGATCATGGCACTAAAAGGTGTCTCTTCCGCTCCTCACCTCCGGGGTCTGGGTCTGACACAGGTCAGAAATCTTCATCCTAAGCCGGCTGTTGAATTAAAATGAATGAGCAAAAATTCCTGGGCCTGTATGAGCCTCCTCTCTTGGCCTTGAGGCAGCCCCGATAGAGGAGTTACCTGGGTTATGCCTATAAGAACAAAATGAACCAAACAAATAAACAACAAAACCTTCTGCCTGGGGATCAGCTTTTTCCTCTCCATTGGCAGCCTGGCACCTTTAAAGACCTGGTTGACTTTAGGTATAATCTATTCTCTTTATCCTCAATCTTGAGCTCTGGACTCATTTTCAGGACATTTTCCTGGATGGTGAGAGGTGGGGGCCAAGTGTGCTAATGAGCCAGAGACCGGAGCTGGGTACTCTAGGCAGTGTGGACTCCAGGCCCAAGGCACCACAGGAACTTCTAGGCACCTGTGAGGGTCCCGGCAGCATAACTTGACTAGGCTCTTTTTGTCATAGACAGGAAGGGACCATGGGAGGGACTTGCCACCCTCACCTGGGCTGTTTAAGGCAATGCTTTAATAAAATCTCTGCACCCACCCTCCACTTTTAACCTTGAATTATTTGAATGTTGGAACTGAATTTGTGTGTGGCACATCTTCCAGGAGATGAGCTGTGAAATTTTGCCTTGCCACTGCCATGGGCTGTGTGACCTTGGGCAATTTGCTACTATCTCCAGGCCATAGTTTATAAAATAAAGCCTCTTATTCCAGATTATCTCCGAGTTCCCTTTAATTGCTAACATTCTACTCTCTTGTAATTGTATTATTATATTTCTACTAGTCACAGACTTGTTTCTCTTGCCATTTAAGGGGAGTCATTTTTTGTTGGCCATAGGCTGTGTGAACTTGGACAGGAGACTCTGTAGAGAGTATGAGAAGCTCTCATGCTTCCTCGTCCTCTCAGTTAAAACATCTGAGGTAGAAATATATAAAGAGTTTATGTGGAGCTCTTCACAATGCGTTCTGTGCAGGCTGTAAGCTAACCTTTTGAAGACACAAAGACCACTATGGCAAGGTCCCTGTTCTCAAGGAACACACAGTTGAGGGGGCAGACAGATGGGCCAGCAAGCACAACATGGAAGGATCACAGGGATTGGGTTAGTCAACATGTGGGGTACATGAGGGGACTGTGGATAGGGAGGTCGTGGTGAAGAAAAGACGCCAGGGGAGAGGACAGTATTCCGTTCACAAGTGATGGATTAATAAACAGTTACCAGATAGAGGCTGGGAAAATAGGCACCAGGAAGAGCAAGCAACATCAGAGATGGGAAGCTTCTTGGCTTGGAGTGAACACCGGTGTGTGTAACTCTGGTATAGGGTTGGAGAGAAGTACTTGGGGGAAACGCTAGCGAGATCATTGGGACTAGATATGGGGTGGGGGGTGAGGACTTTGAATGCTATTCAAGCTGTTCCAGCTTCAGCCTGTAAGCAGTAGAGAACCATGGAAAGTCTTAAAAGAGTTCTGCAATTAGATGTAGGTCTTAGAAATATTACTCTCATTGCAGCATGGAGGGTGGATTTCAGGGGCTGGTTTAAGAACAAACAGCAGTGAAGAGGAACTTGTAGCAGTTCAGGTAAGAGATGATGATGAGAGTTTAAATTAAAGCTGTCACCAACTACGGGGATGGAAGAGTGATAGACACCAGAATGAGCTGGACAGCACTCGGGTTTGGCCTCACATTAGTGCAGTGTAGTAAGCAGGGAGTGATTATTATTTTCTATGAGACAACAAAACAAAATTAGAAAGGTTAAGTGACTTGCCCAAGGTCCCACAGCTAATAAGTGTCAGCGCCCAGGCTAGAATTTGGTTTCCTGACTCAGTTCATTGTTCAGGATTATGGTCCCTTGCTGCCTCGCCTCCATGTAAGTGTGCTTAACAATTGTTCAAGTGTCAGAGGGCGTGAGGGCCCAGTATCCAGGGAAGTGAACAATCCAGCACCTCGATGGGGCAGCATGCTGTGACTGGAACCATACAAAGACGTTGTCCTTCACAGCCCAGGGCTTATTTCTCTGTGCCTTCCCTTCCCTGCTATTCCCCTCCCCTCTCCCCTTTCTTACTCATCGTCCCTCCTTGTTAATTGAGGGATAACACTAAAGCACATAACAGTTCATTAATCTTAACTGTATAGCTTAATGTTTTTCATATGTATACACATATGTACACGCTTATATTAACCACTACCCAGTTAAAAATACTAAACGTTTCTCGGAGTGGTTTCTCGGAGGGGTACCTATCATGGCACCACAGAGCAAGCCTAGCCGTCAGAGCAGCCTCCTCTGTTCACCATGCCACTGAAAGCTTTCTGGGGATTGTCTTCATCCCTCAGTTGATCTCCGAATCAGAATGGGTTACTGTAGAACTAACTGCGCATGGAGGGGGATCACGTGGTTCAACTAATAGGAGGTCAAGTTGACAGATCCTTGTTTCTAATCTTCCCATTTATCCAATTATTTAAGTTACTCCATCCACTTACAGTGTAAAGCATGCAGTGGAACTCTTGGCCTCCATGTTCTCTTTATAATGAAACCAGAAAATAAGTAACCCCTTCATTCAAAAACATATTGTTTGTTCACTTTATCAGTTAGGAAAAGCCTAATCAAGGCACAGTTGTACTTGCCTCATTCCTGGTTAATTTGGGACATTCTTTTATGTATAATGCTGTCTTGTTCACTCCCTGGTTGGTGTGTGGCTTTGTTGCATCCCCAGCTAGGCCATAAGTACCTGTGTGCAGTGACTGTGACCCACATGTGTTCTTGTTCACTGTGGAGCTCCCTCAGTGCTGAGCGCAGCATAGACCTCAGGTCATGCTTTGCTAGTTTTTATTTATTTACTTTGTCACGCAGTCCTTCAGGCTGTTAGACTTTTTTTTTTTTTTGCTTATGATGAAAATTATGGTAAAATGTGTACCATTTAGGGAGGGAGGAATTGGAATGGGTGGGGACCTCCAAAATTTTAAGATTTCCCATAGCCAAGTTCAGTTTTCCTGCCCCTCCTGTGGAATCTTGAAGGCATGGGCTTACTCGGTCTAACTTTTCAAAAGTACATGGTGTATTTTTTATGGAGCTGTTTGGGGTGGCTAGGAGCTTTCCAGCCTTTGTAATGGCAGTTTCTAAATTTGTAGACATCTTGATAAAATTTTTTCAACGATGACTGGATTCTTTGTGAATTTTACCGGTGGGGGAAAAGAAGCCCCAGAATTGTTTAAATAGACTGCTTGCCTCCTGCATTGTCTGCAGAGCCATGTCCTGATGCTGATGCCCTGGAATCTGCATGGTAGTTCTTCCGGGGCTCTGTTTCCTCAGGCAGAACTTTCCTTTTTAGAGTCGCTTGCCTGCCCGTGAGTGCCTTCTCGTTTCTGTTTCAGCTGTATATATTGCGGGCCGTTTACATTAATGCAAGCAGAACAGTTGGACTTCTAGCCTTGGTCCAGGAAAAATAGCACAGTTCCTGACTTCTTTCTCCAGGCCCAGCCTCTCTACAACTGAGGGCCCAGAGGCACTGTCTGTTGCCTCTGATGGGCAGAGAGGCCGATGGCATCTCTCTGGAGATGGACTATCTTGTCCTAATGGAATTAGAGGGTAGAGTGTATGGCCATTCTTTAATACCACCCTCTCTTAATTTAGCCTCTTGTTAAAATATTTCAGGTATAACTGGCTGTTGTCAGAGCAATTCTGTTTCCTGCTGGGATACTTTAAAATACCCCACATTCATGACTCCCAAGACCTTATTTGAATTGGAAGCACTCTTTATAATTGGTAGAAATTCCAGTCAAGAATGTTTTCTCCTCTAGAGTTTAAAAGTATAGCAAGGGAAATGTCTAAAAAGTTAAGCACCCTTCCTTTACAACCCTGCTTCTTCTCTCCTTTCCCTCAGGATACCATGAAGGTAAGTTATTTAGTCACTCGTCCTTAAATTTCTCAAGCTGAGCCCTGGATCAGCCTGGGATGTCTCTGCAGAGCCCAAGGTGGACCTCAGCTCGACTCTACAAGTTTGGCATTTAGTTTTCTAAACCCTAGTGGGTCCGGTGTATCTCATGAGAAGCTCGCTCACCTGGGGCTGCCCAGGAGATCTTTAAGGGGATGCATGAGTACCTTTATCTGGCCACAGCTAGGTGCACTGGAGAAAAAGTTTTCCAGCAGTGCCTCACTGGACAGTTAGGTTTCATACCTCTGTGCCTTTTAAGCTGCCAGGACCACTGCTCAGACACTTTAAGAAATAGTAATCCATCAAGGTTCATGTAATGTCATTATTTGGGGGTTTCTCTTTGAAAGCAACTTAACTTAAACGCATGTCCACATGAGATTTCCGACATGAAAAAGAGGGCTTGGTTGATGTAGCCCAGTATAAAGTCCCCAGGTCTTAAGTTGCTGCAGGTGAATGAGAACGCTGCTAAGGAATATCCCATAGCCTCAGGCCAGAATGTCAGGAAGCAAGGGTAGTATTTGTAGACATTTCGTGGTTTTAGTAATAGAAAATTCTCGCTTTCTTAGTATAGATTCATTTCTCTGGCTTCAAATTACTTAGGTGCTCACTTCAGTATTCCTCTTCACCCCACCCATCTCAGAAAGGCTGAACCACACTGTGTTTCTGAACAGGGGCCCTTGAGTTACATGTTTTCATTCAGACAAGACCCTTGCTTTGTGTGTGTGTTTGGTGGTGCCCACTGCTTATCTGCCTAATGCCATTCTTATGTTTTCCCTTAAGCAACTCTGCTGATGAAACAGGCCTGGCCACAGAACTCATCTTCCTGTGGCACTGAAGGCACCTTCCACCTCCCAGTGGACACCGGGACCGAGAACCGAACTTACCAAGCATCCTCTGCAGCTTTCAGTAAATACGGCCTCTCTCTCCTTTCCTCGTTCCGCTCGGTTGGCACTGATTTGTTTCTTGGGAAGGAAGGAAAGGGAACTTTAAAAAAAATGGCATTGATTAGAAACTTTTAACAAAAAAAATGTTATTCAATCAGCAAAGTTTTTTTTCTTTGATCGTGCAACCAGTATTTGGGAGACACAACCAATGAAGGAGGGAGAAGTATTCATCTGGCTGATAAGTTTGGTTAGAGGCTGTTTCTACAGCCCTTGGATGAAGCAGACTCCTCTCCTTAGAGCAGGGATTTGAACCTCAACACTTCTGATATTCTGAACCAAATAGTTGTCAGAAGTGTCCTCTGCATTGTAGGATTCACAGCATTCCTGACCTCTACTCATGAGATGACAGTAACAAACCCCTATGGTGAAAATGAAAAATATCTCTAAACATTGCTAAATGTCCTCTACAGGGCAGAATTGCCCATTGGGCGAGAAGCACTGCTTTAGTGGAAGCCACACTGTGGGAGCAAGGGATGCCATGGAGTCCACAGGGTGGACTCTAACCAGTCAGATTGGTCGAATCTGCCTTGACCCTTGAATGCAAAGATGCTTCATGGAGCAAAATTAGAACCATTGTTTGGAAATTGAGTTTGACTCCATATAAAGAAGGTTGTATCTCGTTGGAGCTGCCTAGTGAAGGAATGACTGCCGTTGGCTATAGTGAACACCTGTCTCTTGTGTCTGCAGAGGCTGGACAAGCCCTCAGGGGGATGTTGTAGAAACATGAAGCATGATAATTTTTGATTCAGCAAATTATTAACCTAAAAAGTAAATAGATTAGAAGAATGTGTAATATTCTTTCCTTTCTTTAAAATACCCACGGTCACTTTCTCCATAGTTATTTCTCCTAAACGCCAAGGTCAAGTTGTATTTATATAGTGTAACCCATCTTTTGGAGAATGTGCTTTCATATCCACCCTCTCATTGAACCTATAGTCATTCTAAGTTGTGTTATTTGGGTAGATTTTCACTCTAGATTGATAGCTGGGCCCAGAAGAATAATATGCCCAATTCAATCCAACTGGAAAAAGATGGTAACCAAAGTTGGGTCTATTACTGACTTCTTTCATGAGATTAGACTCTTTAAGAGAGATATAGTAGCAGTAGCGTTTTTCCAGATGCCCCAGGTAGAACTGACTGAACATGTGTGAGATTATGTATGCAAATGACATAAATACACACCTACAGCACTATTATAGTGCCGGTGAAGAATATTGAAAGTACCATGGACTGCCAAAAGAACAAACAAACCTGTGTTGGATGGAGTACAGCCAGAGTGCTGTTTAGAAGCAGCAATGGGAAGACTTCGTCTCATGTACTTTGGACGTGCTGTCAGGAGAGGCCAGTCCCTGGAGAAGGACATCACGCTTAGTAAAGTAGAAGGGTGGAGGAAAAGATGAAGACACTAAACAAGATGGATTGACACAGTGGCTACAACAATGGGCTCAAACATAACAATTGTGAGCGTGGCCCAGGTCTGGACAGCAGCACCTAACACCACCACCGTGGGGCAGTGGTGGTTCAATGGTTGAATTCTCACCTTCCATGCAGAAGATATTGGGGAGTGGGGGTGGGTGAGGGGGTGCCAGTTCCTGGGCAGCGTCCCAAGCACAGTCACCACCCCTCTGTCAGCCGAGGCTTATGTGTTGCTATGAGGTTGAATAGGGTTCAGCAGAGCTTCCAGATTAAAACAGAGTAGGAAAACTTGCCTGGTGATCTACTTTCCCAAAACCAACTATTGAAAACCCTCTGAATCACCATCATGTAGCAGAAGGAGACCTGGAATGGAAGCCCAGAGAGTTGGATTCTAGAAGTGGTTCTGTGTAACCCTGGTTCATTCATGCCCATGCTCTGCACCTTAGTTTCCCCAGCTGTAAAATGAGGGGTGCTTTCTAGCTATTGACTTCTGATTCTGTGGCCTTCGTGCTATGTGCCCAACATCTTCCACCTTTGCAGGGACCTTAAACAAGTAAGTGGCCACCTTGACAAGTAGCTGGCTGATTATCCTTTGCTTGCAGCTGTCCTTTCCACCGTTAGAAAGTCTGAGTAGTAAAAGACTATGCCTTGTACACTATTGGAATCTCCTTGAATTGAATTGAAATATTCAATAGCCTATCTTGTTATTCCTTTCCTAGATAGGCCATCATGGTCCCTGAAAAGGACTCAAATGTACCCTTTTATTTTTAAGGATACACTGTATGAACCTTTGCCATTTCTTAATAGAGAATTGACTGGCCCTGCCGCACTCAGATTTTGTGATTTCTAGTTCCACAGAAAATTCAGGACACTGGAAAAATCAGTTCGTCTCGCTCACACTTGCCAAGCCCTGTTTGTAATTAGTTCTCCATCCTACTTCTTTAGTACTCTCTTAATTCAGCTACCAAGAAGGAGACTTAGGGGTCAAGGTAAATTTCAGACATAAAGCTTTACCAGACATATAAATCTGATGATCAATAAACCGATTAGTCTAAAAGGTATCCTTGATGTGAGAATCAATGTCTCTGAAGGCGGTAGGGGCTATACAACTAAAAGGATTTATGATAGTGCCAAATGATTGAAGAAGATCGATTAGGTTTTATCTTGTTAATGTCCACATTCTCTTTATCTTCCTGGTTGATGGAGTCTAAAATTATGGTTTGGAACCTGAGAGAACAGGACATCATAAACAAAGCTGATTTCAGAAGATGGAGCTGGGACAGACAGCTGGTGATTAAATGGTTTTTCTCTTATGGTACTGCCGTTAGTGAAATAGGAGTCCAAAAGGCAACATCCAAATGCCTGGGAATGGACTACAGAAAAGAGTCGCTCAAAAGGAACTCCCCGAGGACATGGTCAGCCACGGTGTCTCAGGCCCAGCTCTGTACTGATCTGGCCACTTGGGGGAAGTCATTACTTCTCTGGGTTCCAGGTTCTTCATCAGAAACAGAGAGGGTTCTTGTTCAGGCACAACATTAGAAAGCCCCAACTCCGTGACCTTCACATTTAGGTAGAATTCCTTTTAGGATAGCCAAACCTCTAGTGAGTGAGCAGAGTCTAAGTGCATTTGCACAAAATCTACTGGTTTTTGTTGTTTTTGTGTGTGTCAAGCCTAAGAGCTGCTTTTACGTAGACACACAAAGCAGTAAACACTGGGTTTACTGCTCCAACTCCAGGGGAACTTCCAGTGGTCTCCAAGGATACACACAGGCCTACCTGTTAGTTGTCAGATGTTCTCTGCAATTTCTCCTTAATGTGTTTCTGAGCTACTCAGAGACTTACGATGTCAGTGTTAGAATACCCTGGATAGACTCTAATCCCATTGAGGAATTGAGCTGAATCAGGGACAGGGTGAGGGGCCCAATACAGTCTCCCCAGCCTCATGGACTGTCTGGCACAAATGGACGGCTTGAGACCCGTTGTGGTTTAAGGAAGGAGAACCAGGCCCATGTGAGCAGTCATCTGTCTGTTGGCAGCTGCCCGTTATCTATGCCATGTTTGTGCTGGGTATCAATCTCCAAGATCTCAGGTGCTTTGGAAATTCAACTTCTCTCAAACCACCTGGCCACGCATCAAGGCTGCCTTCTGCAGCATCTCTTCTTTGACCGCCAAGGGTGTTTTGGCTACTGGCTTGTATTTTGAGTATATTTGTGTCTCATTTTGTAACATGAAGACAGAGAAATATTCTCAGACAAGGCTATTCTTAGCTGTGGAGACCAAGTTCGACTGTAATCTCTTAGAGTCTTGACTTTTCTCAGATGGCTAGTCTCAACATTTAGTAACATGGGTGCCCTTCTGGCATTGAAGGGGTAATACAGGCTGCTCCAGGGAAGATAAAAATACCAGAGCAAGTTCTTGAAGAATGGAATGGAAAGTCACCAGAAGGGCTGGCTTGTTAACATGAGCGAGTCATCAAGTGAGGAGGGCCTTTTAAACCAGTCTGTGTGGGCATCTTAGAATCCGGGAATGGGTGTTCTAAGGTAGAACAGATCAAGGGAAGCCATCGTTTAATCTCTTTCCAGTCTTTGAGGCCAGCCACTGCTCATACACCCCTAAGGGTGAGAAGCTTACTGTCTTTCTAGACAGGGACACAAGAGATAGTAGCTAACCTTTATTGGAGTGCTGATAATATATCAGCACGGTTCCAGCTGCTCTGGACTTATTAGTGTATTTATCACACGAAGATCATAATGTATTTATCATAGGAACATTTTGAACTAGGTGTTGATATCCCCATTTTATTAGTGAGGTGACTGCTATATAGAGATTTTACAGAGCTTAAGTAGCCGGGAGGGGGTTGGACCCAGGCCATCAGCACACTCCAAACCACACCTAACTGCTGCTCTGGGCTGTGCACCTTTCCTAGACGGGAAACTCAGGATGAGATGCCCTGTTCTTCTGCCTGGGAAAAAGATGCTCTCCACTTTGGCAGGACTCCCCACACCTTATTGCAGTTCTTTAAAGCAATGTTTCCTTTGGTGACAACTGATCAGTAACTCTCAAAGCTGTCTGAGTACTCTTGTCAGGGGCAGGGTGCCCAGGCCCAGACTGTGATTGAGAGATTTCTGAGCATGTGGTGGGCTGTGTTTAAGGGCTAGGGTAAAAGATCTCTACCCTTACTGCCATGGAGTTTTAGTCCAGGAAAAGAGCTTTATCCTTAACTAATTGGCTTTACAAAGAGACACAGGTCCAGAGACTTGGCAGTGGTCACAGCAAATCAGAGGGAAGGGCCAGGACTGAAGCCCGCATCTCTTCCAGTGAAGTCCCCTCTCCACTCTGCCTCCAGATTCCTTGCAGAAGCTTCATGTTGGAGCTAAAAGGGTCCTCAGTGAGCATTGTATAGATGAAAGAACTGAGGCCCAGACAGGTTTAGAGCAGCATCAGCGCCCCCTTGTGTAAAGTGAGATGGTTGGAGTCCCTTGATCACTCTCTACTTTAGGATTCTCTCAGAACACCGTCTTGTTCTTGTGTGGCTGATGCTTTCAAGGGTTGACGCCTGCACCCAGGTCTGCCTCTTCAGAGGATTCCGTCAACAAAGTTGCTTTTATAGTTTCTTGGAGCTGGGTTACTCAGCGTCAGCATCCCAGAAGATGGAAGTCTCTGAATGGTGTTTTGTATGAGGTTTTTTATCTCAAAACTTAGTGGGGAAGATGGTGATAAGAAAGACCAAAAAGGAAGGGAGAAGTGTATAAAGGGAGATGGGGGAGGGGGAAAGTGTGAAAGAGAAAACAAGTCAGAGAAAGATGGAAACAGCAGTAGAAGATACCCTGGAGTGCTGGGTGAGCAGACAGAAAAGCAAGAAGGAATGAGTGAGTTGAAGATCACACCCCTTCCCTGTCTTGCAGCAGGTAGCTCAGAATCCCGGACCATCGGAGCCCAAAGAGTCTATAAAATAACTGACGCCAGCCTGCTGTTTGATAGCTGCGAGCCTTGAGACCCAGAAAAAAAGAAAAGGAAAAGATGTCCAGAGTCACACACGCACACATGCCTTGAGCACTGGCCTGAGGGAGCTGCTTCTGGGCTGGAGCTTTCTGGGAGGAGCCTTGTTCTCTGTCTGTTTTCATCTGTGTTTCCAGCCTGGATTCAGCTCATCCGTGTCTGGGGATGAGATTGGGGCCTACTGCCTTCCAGCCATGCTGTTCTACCAAGTAATTGGAAGTCTTTCTTATTGCCTTGGTACAGGATATACTGCAGGGACACCATACAAGGTCCCACCAACCCAGAGTAATACCGCTCCACCCCCCTACTCCCCATCACCCAACCCATATCAGACGGCCATGTATCCAATCAGAAGTGCCTACCCCCAGCAGAATCTGTATGCCCAGGTAAGTACACGTGAGCGCCTGGACTCCTTCTGCAGGAAGAGGAGCCATCAGCCATGTGGGGTGGGCACCAGTGGGATGAAGAGAGGAGAGAACGAGAGCTCACGGCTTGGCCCCACTGTCAGTCCTGTGACAGGAAGCACTGTCTCTATCTGCCCACTTCCTGTTCCACCTCAGCCCCAGAGGTGTGATGAACAGAACCCAGAATGTCAGAGGTGAAGGCCCCAGGGATCATTAGCTCAGCTCTTTGTGTTACAAGTGGGGAGGCTGACACCCAAGACAGCAGTGACTCGTCAGAGGTCACACAATGAGCTGCTGGTTGCGTCAGGATGAGACCCCATATGTCTTGGTTTCTCTCCCACTTCACATCTGCCTTCCATGGTGACGTCAGTGAGCCAGGTGGGAAGGAGACTAGAGGACAGGCTCTGCCACCAGTGTTCAGATGATATTGGGCACATCGTCTTTCTGTGCCTTCCTGTCCCCATCTGGTCCCCCTGAACTGGAGAATGTGTGCTCTGAGGAGATGGCTGCGATACAGGGATGATAGAAGTGGCTTCGAGAAATTCCCTTACCTTTCCATTCAATTTTCCAACGAGCTGTTTGACACTCCCTTACATAAACCACTAATGTACACATGACATTTTTCTGAAGCGAGAATTCTACATAGAGTTGAAGTGGTGACGAGAATGCTTGTCATTAAAAAAACAAAACGAAAATCACATATCATAGAGTAGAATACAAAGTTTTTAAAAAACAAATGGTCTTGAGAAAAATTTTTCTTATTTATAGTAGGCTGCTTTGGACTATTGTCAGACTTTGAAGTTACACATTCCCATTCTGGGGCTCTTGGTATGATTTAATCCCAATACCATTTCAGAAGCCCTGCGTTAGGATGATCTCTAGGGTCCCAGGCTACTCCCCACCCTCCCCCAAGGTCAGCAGGCCTGTGGACTGTGGTAGCAGGAAGCAGCTGTGACCCAGGCCATAGAAAGTCACTTTAAATTTGTGTCTCCACTCACATCTTTTCACCTACAGGGAAAGAGTACGGGAGATCTTAGGATAGTCTTTCCTTAGTGACACATTTTCAGCGTGTATGTAGCTTCCCGTGACGTTCACCAGATGCAGTCACCACCCTCCTGAGTGACTGCGTATCATTCCTCGCTACGTGCCATAGAAGCACAGAACAGTAAAACAAGCATCTAACGCTGCTACAGCCAGGGTTAAAGCAGCAGAGCCCTCATCCCACCAGGTCACTGTAGCAGCCCTAGGAGCACAGCGAGCCAGGGTGGTTATAAGGCCCATTTTTCAGACCAGAAGCCACGCCCAGCACCAACGATCCACCACCACGTGAGGTGGAAGCAGAGTACTAGCTGGAACCTAGACCTTGTCCCTAGACTGGGGCATCTCCCACCTACTCCTTAGGATATGGGAAGAGCAGAGGTTCCCCCTTCCCGAGTCCCATCCCACCTCTTCACAAGCCGGTGTGACCTTCCTCTCTTTTCCCCAGGGAGCCTACTACACACAGCCGGTGTATGCTGCCCAGCCCCATGTCATCCACCACACCACAGTCGTCCAGCCCAACAGCATTCCCTCTGCCATCTACCCAGCACCTGTGGCTGCCCCCAGGACCAATGGTGTGGCCATGGG